TGAGCATTATAATTTCTAGCAGGCGTTGAGCACTTTATGTGTCAGTTGCAATGCCAAGCACTCTATATGTGTGACTTCATTATATTCTTATACTCTTAGGACATGGATACCATTACTGTTCCCATTGAAAGATGTGAAAATGGTACTCAAAGTTACAGAGCTAGTATGTGGCAGGCTGAGAATTTACATCTGGTTTGAAACCAGTGCTCTCACCCAACTTTCCTCCTTGGTCAATTCAGCATTTCAAGGCTTAGTGTGTTTGTCCTTTAGTGAAGTCCTCCCAGTCTTCCCTGTCCTTTCTTCTCCTATAAAATACACTCAGCATTTTCCATCTACATTTATTACAGTGCCTAATGTTATTTACACATTGGACAATTTATCAGTTCCTTCAACAGAGGTATTTGGAATGCATTCGTCACAGGATATGGTACTGTAGAGTGAATGGGAATGAAGTAGGGAATGAAGCAAGTCAGGACCTGGCCTCTTAGAGACTAGTAAGAGAGACTTAAAGCAAATAGGCATAGATATATGCCATAAAATCCCAGATGATAGTTGCTATGGAGAAACACTTTGAATGTGGGTAATATGCCTGTCTCTAAGCATCACATGAGCACATAACAGTCACAATTATGGGTTTTAAGAAAAAATTTTTTTATTTTCCCACCACTAATGTGTTTCCAAATTGATGGGCAGTTGGTGTTGCATTAATAAATTTTAGGAACTATTTAGGTTAGAAATTAAATTTCAAATTGGAAATTGAAATCAACCTTGTAGAAATGGGATCATAAAACCTTTTGGCATCATGACGTGAGTTTCAGAGAGAAGACATAAATATTATGAATGAAAGAATAAAATTGGATTTGACCAGAGGCAGGCAAGGTTGTCTCAATGTAAATCTCTCAATTCAGGAATGTACTTGTTTAATTTGATATAGCATGAGTTGACAATGTTCAGAACACAATGAAAAGGTCTATTACTCGAAATTTTTCCAGCTGAGATTGCTGAATTAGTGCTTCTAAGGATAAATGAACATGAAAATGAGTTCTGGTTACTGCTTCTTGATTGTACTCTGTTCAACCTTTTCCCATCTGCTGATTACACAATAATTAACAAGTGGTCTTTACAAAGAGCTATGCACGAAAATGAAATCCCCAAATATAATATTTTAGATCTCAACCTTCGTGTGAGAAGCATTTACTCAGCCATAACATTTCCAAACAACTTTAGCCTACTATATTAAGTGCTTCTAAATTTTCAGGAAAAAAAAAACAATAATAAATGCTCAAAGAATAACATTAGAACAAGACAATGTAACTCAGTGTCTCAAAAGCAGTACCACTGGGCTGGGGATACAGTTCAGTGGTAGAGCTCTTGCTCAGTATGTGCAAGGTCCTGAGTTCCATCCCCAGCACTGCCCCCAAACAAAACAAAACAAAACAAAAGCACTAGTACAATTGAGATAAACATTACAAGGGATTTATCAACAGTTACAAAACCCACTTAAGGATATAAACATAAGGCAGTTGCCTTAGGATGCAGCTTGTTGCATTTGAGTACTTGAATTCACTACTTTTGAAGTTATGATAAGCTATAACAGTTTGGAAGTGAGTTCTGTTACTGGAGAAACTGAATTAAAATTTTAAAAAAATACAGCAAAACGAAAGATGTCCATCTGTTCACCACAAAGAATAAAGACTTTTGTGCCAGTTTAGAGTACTCTACTTTAACCATGAACATCATAGGAGTTTGCTGGAGTCAGAGCCCTCCCTGCCTATAATATCCAGACAGGTATGGGCATATAAATCAGGTTATGTTAATGTAGAGCTTAGAGTTTAATGATGATAAACGCTATATAAAGGTTACACTAAAAATAGTACACATCATAGACCCAGGAAGTGTTTGAATCATACCTACAACTGTGTACAATGTAGAAAAGGGGAATTATCCCCACATTTGGTGGTAGCTTTACTTTGATTGGAAATGGCTTTATAGTTTCTTTTTACATTGTGCTATAGGTTGGATCTGGAGTGTCTCCCAAAGGCCCATATGCTAAAGGTGTGGTCAGCAGCCTGTGGCATTAATGGGAGGTGGTGGAACCTTTAGGAGGGAGAGCCTAGGGAAAGGAAGTTAAGTCTCTGAGGACATGCCCTTGAAGGGCATGTTGGGATCCTGGCTCTTGCTCTCTCTGCTCTCTGGCCTCCGTAAGGTAAGCAGCTTTGCTCTACCACCCACTCATCTCCATGATGTCTGCATGGCCAGAGGCCCAAAAGCAATGAAGTCAGCCAACAAGATCTGAATACTCTGAAATCCTGAAACATCCTTGTAAGTTGATTAGTTCAGGTATTTTGCCACATGATAGAAAGTTGACTAACATATATTTAGATTTCTATGCCATACCGCCCCCTGAGGATTTTAAATACTTTATTATCACTTACTATATATTGAATTTGTCCTCTTCTCAGAACTTTACATTTCCTGTGCTTATAAAAAGTAAACAACTGCATCTGCAAGATTTAATATCTTCACCCATTTGCCCCCTGCTTCTCTTCCTAACCTACAACCAACTGACAGATATCAGGGGATGATCATTGGGAAGTGTTATCAGGATACCTTTGGTTCACTCAAAAATTATACACATACAGGATTTTATATTTGCAGTTTTTCCATATTTCACTCTCAATACATGTGCACTGTGATAAATTATGCTCATTACAGCATGATTTCAGATGAAATAAAACTTATAACATTTTATGCTGCTGTAATTGTATCTAAATGATCCTTTTACTCATTTAATAAGAGTAATACATTTTAACATTATTCAATTATTCCCATTTTGGTTCAATTATGTGTACATTTTGAATATCACAAATAACCTCACTTATCTCTAATTCTAAACATAATTTAGAAAAAAGTAAAATATCCTATGTTCTAAAATAACAAATATTTTTAAAACTACAAGTTTCCTGATAAAATGAATTAACATACAATTGGAATATAAGTAAATGTATTTATATAAATATAAATGAAGACATATAGTAACAAAAAAAGTATTCCATATCAAGTCAGTAGTCAGTATCACTGTAGGGTAATTATTTTAGTCTTACATTTTTGTAATGTCAATAACGACATTTCTTATAGAAAATTAACAAGAGGTTTCTCCTAACAATTATACCTAAAAGACACTAGCTTGCATAAAAACCAGAAATAAAAAAATATTAACCATGAGAGTCAAGCAGTTGCAAAGACCAGTTAGTCACTAAGAAGCTCTGACTGACTCAGGAATACTCCAGCTCATCATTGTAATGGCAGAAGAAGGTACTTGCTAAACCACACCAGGGTTCCCTCAAAGCCACAGGAAGAATAATGTACAGAACACTGCTTCCAAGACTCAAAACATGGGCAAAAACTTACCTTAAATGGAGATGATTTCAAACAGCCTTTGAAACCACTTCATCCTGCCATTTACTGTAATAACAAGGATGAAAACTACTGCCACAGCCTCATTAGTTTCTGCTTCATTTACTGAAAATGTTCCCTGTTCTGCTGACTAATAGTCACCTGGTGAGGCTCAAAACTTTGCAAGACAATTGTTCTGGGGGTAGGCATGGGGGCACCTGTGCATCTTAAAAACTCTCCAAGCAGTTCTACAATAGTCAGGGCCATGAGTCAAAGATTCCTCCCACAGCTGTTGCCTTGGTTTCCCAGCCTTCAGTCTTGGCCTCCTGTGACAGCCTCTGAATGCTGCCACAATGATCTTTTGTAATGCTCATGGAATTAAATTCAAACTTCTGAGCAAAGGGTGGAAGACTCCACAGGACTGCTCTAATCTACCTGCCAAACTGCTCTTCACTATTCTTTCCTCATTGTCTCTGCAAAGCTGCCTCCTAGGGCCTGGCTTCAGCCTCTGCACCTGAGCTCTTACTCACCCCTTGCTCTGAGCTCTGAAATGCTCTCCATTCTGCCCGGACCCCACCTCCTCAGTGAAGCTTTCCTGACATTCTAGTGCCCAGCTTCCTGCAAGTGTCCCCAAAGCACCCTATATGAATAGGTGTGTGTGTGTGTGTGTGTGTGTGTGTGTGTGTGTGTGTGTGGTGGGGGTGGTATTTGTTTTTTTCTAATCACAGTGAACTGTCATTTTAGAGAATATGTCTCCTTTTATCTTCTGTTACAGTTTGATTTTTAAGCATCCCCTGAATGGTAAATAAAGGCTGGCTCCCTGGGGTGGCACTAGTAGGAGTTGGTAGAACCTTAAGAGGTGAGGACTAGTGGGAGGTCTTCAGGTCACTGAGCCTGTGCCTTCAAAGGAGATTGTGTGACCTGGTCCCTTCCCCTAGCTCTCTCTTGCTCTCTAATCACAAGGAGAGTCCCAGTCAGTCATGGACTAAATCCTTCAAAACTGTGAGACAAAATAAACATTTTTTCTATAAGTCAATTATCTCAGTTACTTGTTATACTGACAGAAAACTGACTAACACATCTTTATTAGATTTTCTGAAGCAGGGATAATGTCACCTTTACTTTTGTGTCCCCTAAATTTAACACAATATCAAGCATACACTAGTATTCTATATTTGTTGAATAAAAAGTGAATAACATTTTATATTACTTTCCTTTATTAAAGAGTTAAAAGAGATTTTCACTGGGACCACTAGGAAACTCAAGATCAAGTCATAGTTCAAAAAAAAAAAAAAAATCCCTAGTATTATCTTGGTATTGGTAATGGTAATGAGTATTACTCTAAAGATTATCTTTCCAACTGTATTACCAGTTGAATTTTCAACATGATTAAAGTCAATAAAAAAATCTTTAATGAAATCCTCAAGATTGCCATCTTAGCATCAGTCTCCCCAGACCACACATTTTCAGAATCACAGGCAATGTATGCTCACCTTCGGCTCCGGGAAGGGAAGGAAGCCCACTTAATGCCCACCACAAGTTGGCCCAATAGGGCTGCTCCCATCATGTGACATCTAACCCACAACTCTGGTGAACATGCTTACTTTATATTTGCTTTCTGATCTTGAAGGGGTGGGAATATGTCCTTTTTTCTTAAAGGTTGTAAAGTGCTTGCACTGAGGACACGGCTTGGTGCTGGAATCAATGCGGCCAAGTTCCAAGAAGTACTTATACTTGATGGAGTCTTCATGTGTTAAATTATAGACAACAGTTGTTTCTTCCAGGAATTCAAAGCACTCTGTGATAGGGCATTTGATTTCTACTTGGCCAAGTTGTACCTGTGTGAAAGAACAGGTGGTATTGGTTATTAAATTTCTTTCTCTTTTTTGCATTAAGTATTGTTATATCTTGATTATAGTAAAGGGTTGTTTGTTACTTTTAAAGATAACAATGAGGGGCAATCACTTTGATACCTGTATTAGGCAGTTCCAAAATAATCACTATGTTTCCATACTAATTTATTATTGGAAGTTTAGTTTTCTCTGATCATATTTGTGAACCTAAGCCACAGGCTCGCCAACGAAACAAACTTCAACCCCATCCTGGAAACACCATGAGGAGCCAGCATTCACACCCTGTGCCAATGATAGGAACTGCAGGGTGAGCCAGCATTCAGACCATGTGCCAACTACAAGGTGTTTCAGATGTCAACATTATTGTAGAATATTTCGGCACTAAACTTTAGGCACATTTTACTTTAAAAGGACAAAAGATATTTTGTAAAGTATATTATGCAAGATATCTTGTAGTTTGAAAATCATTGCCAAAAAAAATAACTGTTTTTTTTTTTTCTGATCCTTCCACCTGGCCTCTACTTATGATTTTAAGTTAGTTCCTATGTCTCCAGAACCTCAGGAGCAAGGAAGAAAAATAAATCAAACACAAAGGTGCAAAATAAGGAACACATGTATCTAGCATTTTGTATAGGATATTAGATATGGCTAAAGTTGAAAATAACAGTAAAATATTAAAGCACAAAATGTGAACACAACCGATTTTTGAGAGCTGAAGGAAGTAAACAACTTTCAAATAAGAAGGGCTAGAATCTCTCCTTTATTAGTGAATAGGAACTCTTCTATGGCATAATAATCTTCTTTGCCCTTCCTAATATAGCAAAGGCAGGCACTGAACACTCCACATGGCAAATGATGATTTTCACTTGTGTGACTGACATTCTGAGAAATAAAAACACATCCAGCTGAATGAGAAACGCAAACCCTAACAGCCGAGGCAGGAAGGGGAGGAAGCCACAGGCTCTGTGGGAGAAAATCGTCACAAAGAGCAATGAAACTTTGAAAAGCCTAAATTCACAGTAACTTTGAACTTTACTGTTTATACTGCACGAACTTGAGGAAAAGTAGTTACAAAGTTGGAAGGTGAAGGGTGCACGAGAATGACACGTTTAATTAATACCATGAAGGATATGAGCAAAAAATGATACAACGTGGAAAGGTCTGAGGAAGAGAGTCTGACTTTGAGTAAACCGCTGAACCATTACGGATCTGAGGAAAGTACAAAATGATACTTATTTGATGCTACTACTGTATAAAATGTGGTCCAAAGAGCTTTATTTTTAAAATAGTTACCCAATTTTTTACTTTTTTTGATGAGTCTGTTTACAGACTCAAATTTTTCTATTATACATTGTGGTGTTTTCATGGTATACTGATTCCATTTTTTTTTTTTTTTTTTTTTTTTTTTGGTACTGGGTATTGAACTCATAGGGGATTAGCCACTGAGCCACATCCTCAGCCCTTTTTTGGATTTTATTTAGAGGCAGGGTCTCACTAAGTTGCTTAAGTCCTTGCTAAGTTACTGAGGCTGGCTTTGAACTCATGATCCTCCTGCCTCAGTCACCTGAGCTGCTGGGATTACAGGTGTGCACCACCACACCTGGCCTCCACTTATGATTTTAATAAATTATTTTAAGACAGCAGTCCTCAAGAGAGTTCATGTAGACAAAACTACAAAACAAGAAATCTGGCTCGATGAAGTATATAACTTAAACATTCAAAAATGATGAAATATTTCCCCCTTCAACATTCTGTTGACATTTTTGAAGGCCAATTCTGAGCCTCCTACTAGGTTAGGGACTGAAGCTTCACAGGTGCCCATTGATCAAGAGGCAGTGAGGACAGAGTGAGTGCCAACACCTGGCACGATGAGCGCAGGTGTCAGAGGGCAGCATGGGGAAGTATGGGAACCTCGCCTGGGGAGGTTCAGAGGAGGCTTCTGGGTAGAAGGGAGGCTCCAGATAAGATCTTAAGATCTGTAAGACTTGGCAAGCAAGGGTGAAGGCATTCAAGCAGACCGAAGAAATAGCACAGACAAAGGAGACCTGGGGAATACAGCAGAGCACACAGAACAGGGATGGCCATATTGTTCCCATCCCTGAACCCCATCAACTTAAACAGCACATGGGCCTGCATCTGAATTTAGAGATCACCACCTTAGCGGGGGGGATTAAAGATGTGTAGTAAGAATGGCCCAAGTGTGTGAGTATGGAAAGCTGAGGCTGTGCAGATGAACTTGGACCAGAGGATGAGAGTAGAATTGCTACCTTGGGAATCTGCATTTTGTCCTATAAAACTAGAAAACTATTCCATTTGTAGCACATGAGAGTTTCTTTTCATTATACCACACACACGCACACACACTGCCATTTCAGTCACTTTAAGGGCTCCTTTTTATTGGGGAGCAGTACACTTTATTGATTTTGGAGACTGAGTTTTCAATCCCCAGGTCAGTGTTCGAATCCAGACTCCCTCAACCTATAATTTTATTTATTTTTTATCGAAATACATGATAACCATTGATGCAGCAATTTTACAGCCATCTGGGAATATTCAGGTCTCAGGGAAATGGAATGTAGTTTAGGGACTACCATCTTCTGCAGCTCAAGAGACCAGGCCACCTTGTCACTCGTTCAGCAGTGGGTGCTCATCAACCACACTGGGCTACCTACCACTCAACCTCCAACAAGCACCTTGTCTTCTATTTTGATGTTTCTCAAATTTGTCTGTAAACTCATTTTATTTCCCACAGAAAATTCCTCTTTGCTTACATACTCTCCTATTGACTATTCCAAACCTTCTCTTCCTTTCAAAATCCCTGTCCTACCTTATTGATCCAATAGCCTTACATAGTATTTTATTGAACATGCAAAAATCAGATGCATATTCTCCTGTCTTCCCACTGCCAGCTTTATCAGTGTATCAACTCTGACCCCATCTTTTCTCCCTTGTTACCTTGTATAGTGGAGGGCCAAATCTACTTCCAGGACAACTGCATACAAATTGCTTGAAATGTTTGTTGAGAATTCAAGTTTCTTGGCCGACTCAAGACCTACATATTCAAGGTTGAAATTATTGTATTTTGGGGTTTTTTTAAAGTATTTTTTCCTTTCCACTTTTTTTTTTACTGGTACCTTATAACTGTACATATGATGGGATTTTTTGTTACGTATTTATATATGCACACAATATAAGAAAATAAATTGGCCCATATCAATCCCCAGAACTTCCCCCTACCCTCCAGACTTCTCAGCCATGGTCCCTTTCCTCTACTGATCTCCATTTGATTTTCATGAGATCCCTGCCCCCCATTCCCATTTCCTTCTTTCTCTCTAGCTTCCACATATAAAAGAAACATACAATCCTTGAACTTCTGAGTTTGACTTATTTTTTTTTATATGGTCTGTAGTTCCATCCATTTCCCTACAAATGACAATTTCATTTTCAGAGTTGGAGTTCTTGCCAATAAGCCAATAATTGGCAGTCTGAAAAATCACTCTCATAATATTTTCAATCTCTCATATTTCTTAATACTAACACCATCAGCCTTTTTCATGGATAGTGTTATTCATGATCTGTCTGATCTCTTGGTTTCTATATGTGTATTTTTTTTTTAGAAAATAATTTTCTCAAAAGATTGCTGCCAAACAAAAAATCTTGACTAAGCAAAGTGCATTCATTTATTTAGTCAACAAATAAGTGTTCCATTAATTCAAGATGCACTTTAAAATAATCATTTGACATCTCAAAAGTCAAGACTGTTTCAGAATCAATAGTCATTAGCTACCTTTTAATTTGCACTGCTTTTACTTTCTTAGTGGTACATAACATGATACTGCATCCTACAATTGATCATATCTTTTAAATTTCAATGAAGTGTGATTTTTATGGATCAGGCATTGAGATGAACTTCTGGTGAGATGGCAGGAGAAAGAAACATCACATTGGAGAAAATGCATTATAAGTAAACAAACAAACAAACAAAAAAGATTGTAACCAGTGTTACCATGAACTACATACACATAGGGAGAGAGTCTGGGAAAGTGCCTGGGCCTGACATGCAGAGGAAGACACTGCCTGCAAAGCAAACCAGGGCAATGGCCCCAGGGAAGAAGGTGCTGAATGTGCCTGATATTTCTGTGCTCAAAGCAAAGAACAGAGTGACTGAAACATAGTAAGTGAGAGAGGGAACAGCATGAATGACACTGAAGTGTCAGGCAGTAGACAGATCACACAGGCCTGGTTGGCAATGATTAAGTTTCCACTATATTCTAAGTTCAATATAAATCCACTAAAGGTTTTAAGGGGAGGAGTAATGTCTTGATTTACATTAAAAAAAAAAAAGAATCAGGCTCTTCTAGGAGGATGCACTGTGCAGGAGCAGAAGTGCAGGTTGGAAGAATAGTGGCTCTCGGATTGCAACTCTCTTACCACCAGTTGTCCAAGTAGTAGATGATGGATGACTGAACTTGGTAGCAAGAGGTGGCCAGAGAACCAACTGGGATGTTTTAAAATTGACAAATAAAAATTGTATGTTTATGGGATGTAACATGTTGTTTTAAAATATGTATATAATGTGAAATGAAATGGTTAAATTAAGCTAATTAAGATATGCATTATCTCACTTTTTTTCTTTTCTTTTTTCTTTTTTAGTGAGAACACTAAAACCCTTGGGAGCTTATTACACATTGTTATTAACTAGTCACTATGTTGTATAACAGATCTGTCGAGTTTATTTCTTCTAAGTATGAATCCTTTGACCAACCTCTCCCAGTCCTCCCCACCCCACCCCAACAAACCCCTGGTAATTAACATTTTACTTCCTGTTTTTATGAGTTCAATGTTTTTAGATTCCAATATAATTATGGTTCTGACATCATTCTGCTTATGTTATTCAACATAATGGCCTCCAGGTTCATCCATATTGTCACAAATGACAGGATTTCCTTCTTTTTAAAGACTACTATTCTATTGTGCATATATAA